GTTATCTCCCGAGGGGTCCCAGACTGTGAGAGGGCACAAGTGGGGCTGAGGGACACCCCACCCCCCGCCAGTGCACAAATTTTTGTGCATCGGGCCTCTAGTCTATATATAAAAGCCTAAGTGACTGTTACAACCAGAACGACGAGAATGACTGGTCGACCAGTCCCTATGATGCGCTGACCACCAGGGGCAGATGTTCAATGCAGGAGCTTCCCCCTGGTGGTCAGTGCACTCCCATAGCCAACTTCCTGTGGCCGGCCAACCTCCCATGGCCCCTCCCCCCAGCCAGCCAGCCAACTTCCTGCAGCCCCACCCTGGCCAGGCAATCTCCCATGCACTTACTGCTGGCCAGCAGGCCAACCTCCTGTGGCTCCTCCCCCTGGCCAACCTCCCATGGCCCATCCCTCGGCCGGCCAACCTCCTGTGGTCCCTCCCGTTGGCCGGCCAGCCCCCAATAGGCCTCAATCGCTGGCCAGGCCTGCAGGATTGGGCCAAAACCAGCTCTCTGACATCCCCGAGGGGTCCCAGATTGTGAGAGGGTGCAGGCCAAGCCGAGGGACCCCACCGCTGCACAATTGGGGCCAGGGAGAGATGCGGGAGGTTGGATAACTGGGGAGAGACCGCGAGAGGGCTCCAGGGTGTGTCTGGCCTGTCTCACTCAGTCTACATCAGCCAGATCCCAGCAGCAAGCTAACCTACCAGTTGGAGTGTCTGCCCTCTGGTGGTCAGTGCATGTCATAGCGAGCGATTGAGAGGCCTTAGCATATCATTAGCATATTACACTTTGATTGGTTGAACTGATGACCGGACACTTAGCATATTAGGCTTTTATTATATAGGATAAGCCCTCTACTAATTCTGTTTTTTTTCTTATTTTAAGAAATGACATAGAGATTTTCTGGTTTAGCATCTTATGTGGGTGAGGAATATGAGAAATGAGAAAATTATCAAGCTGCTCTATAACTAAAAAGTTTTGATGTGTGCATATTATACATTGGGAAAACACATATGGACTTAAATGTTATGAGAGGGCAAGCAGTCCAGGAAAACTGCACATTTTTAAATGAATTGCTAGCACTTTAGATCCTGAAATGCTAATGAAAACATTAACACTTTCCAAGTGTTCAACATTAAAAGTCAGCATTTCAGTTAAGGACTCTAGCTCTTTCTTATGAGGTGATACTAATAATAGTTAACATTTGTTGAAGGTTTACTATATGCCAAGCACAATTCTCAGCACATTTCATCTATTAAGTCATTTAATCTTTATAAAAACACTATGAGATGTGTACTGTTATAATTATTTCTATTATGAGAAGAGAAACTACAGCACAGAGGATTAAGTAGTTTTCCCAGAGATATTCTGCCAGGATCTAGTGTGAGCAGTTTGATTTTATAGCCTGTGCATTGACCACTATGCAAAATGGCTTTCAGGGGATAGGAGTTATTTTAATAACAGGAGCAGAGTAACTGCTGGGAGCTTGGATACAGTATTGCAATGATGGGATGAAGCTTATTGTTATCATCTTAATGACTGGAGAATAAGCTTAGGTTTATATAAGAGAAATCAACAAATGAGAACAATAATTGAAAAAAATTCTAAAATTCTATGATACAAATGTGAGAAGGAATATATATATATTATATATACTAAAGGCCCAGTGCCTGAAATTTGTTCACTGGGGTGTGTCCCTCAGTCCAGCCTGCACCCTCTCCAATCTTGAACCCATCGGGGAATGTCCGACTGCCGGTTTAGGCCCGATCCTGCAGTCGGACATCCCTCTCACAATCCAAGACTGCTGGCTCCTAACTGCTCACCTGCCTGCCAGCCTGATCACCCCCTAACTGCTCCCCTGCCAGCCTAATCGATGCCTAACTGCTCCCCTGCCAGCCCAGTTGCCCCCAACTGCCCTCCCCTGCCAGCCATCTTGTGACGACATGGGGGCGTACTTCTTGTGGTGGCCATCTTGTGATGATGTG